AAAAGTTCAAAAGTTTGGGATCAGTAAGACTTGTAATGTTTTTTAAAGAAGTCTTTTATGTTCATCAAGGCTGCATTTATTTGATTAAAAATGCAGTAATCTTGCAAAATGTTATTACAATATGAAATAATGGTTTCTCTTTTAATATCCTTTAAAATATCATTTATTTCTGTGATGCAAAGCTGAATTTCCATCATCATTACTCCAGTATAAAGTGTCACATGATCTTCAGAAATCATTCTAATATGCTGATTTATTATTAGAATTATCAACAGTTGTGCTGCACAATAATTTTTTGGAAACTGATACTTTTTTCAGGATTCTTTGTTGTTAAAAATTTAAAAAGAACAGCATTTATTCAAAATATAAATCTTTTCTAACAATATAAATCTTTGCTATCACTTCTTAACAATTTAACACATCCTCGCTGAATAAAAGTTTTAATTTCTTTAAAAAAAAGAAAGAATAAAAATGTACCGACCCCAAACTTTTGAACGGTAGTGTATATTGTTAGAAAAAAATTCAATTTTAAATAAATGCTGTTCTTTTTAACTTTTTATTCATCAAAGAATCCTGAAAAAAATATCACCGGTTCCAAAAAAATATGACGCAGCAACAGTTTCCAGCTCTGATAATAAATCAGCATATTATTATGATTTCTGAAGATCATGTGACACTGAAGACTGGAGTAATGATGCTGAAAATACAGCTGCGCATCACAGAAATAAATTAGATTTTAATGTATATTAAAATAGAAAAACGTTATTTTACATTATAATAATATTTCACAATATTACATTTTTTCTTGTATTTTTGATCAAATAAATGCAGCCTTGATTAGCAAAAGAGACTCCTGTAAAAAACATAAAAAATCGTTCTGATCCCAAACTTTTGAATGGCAGTGTGTGTGTATATATATATATATATATATATGTATACAGCGCTCGACATTAATGCTTGTCCGCTTGTTCAGGACAGTGGATTTTGTGAAGGGGCAAGTGAAAGAGAATTTTAATTGCTCGAATGGACAGGTAACCTGATTAAAACGTCAATAACAAACAATAACTAGGGCAGCACCGAAACTTTGGTGAGAATGATTCTGATTTTATTACTTTCAGTGTAAACAGTGATTGATGATGGATGATGTATTGACAGTATCGAGGCTCGCACAGACTGTCTGACTCGCGGAGAAATCAGAACTAATAAGCGCAACAGCACACACAAAGAAACAAAGAGGAACAGACATACAGCGGTAGAAAAAATAGATTAATATTCTATATAATATATGATACAGGTAAGCAACATCACAGACCAAGAGTGATGTTTTCCCGACTATCAGCACGATTGCAAATGTGCCATTGATTTTATACAACAGTAGTGCAATAAACAAGTAGTTAATATTAACTGACTTACATTTTAGACACAGTATTGACCGTTTTTGCTAACGAAATAGTTCTAAGCAAAGCCGCAGCAGAACAGTCGCGCATCTCTGAGCAACACACAACAATGTTTCCTTACTGAATTATTCAGCATTTTTGAACGAATCGAGTGAGTCAATGATTCACTGAGCCGTTCATAAAGACTTGCTTAATTTATTGAATGAATCAGCAATTTGAACGAATCAGTTGAATCAATGACTCAATCATTAAGACCTACTAGTGCTTTGGTTTCATATTTAAAAGTATCATTGCATTTTTCCAACATTTCATATTTGTATGTTTAAAAAAGTAAAACATTAATCTTATAACATTGTTTATGCATTTACTATTTTACTGTGTAAATGCATTTATGGAACCTCTTATTTTCATTAAACAGTGAGTAAATACATCTAAATGGCACTTTTGATGAAGCTTCTGTGTGAGTTTGTTGATACTGATTTCATTTTAATGGTAACAACCATACAGTGTCATAATTTTACTCTGAATGTGTTGATAAAGTAATACCTGATAGAGCACTGATGAGACTATTACTCGCACAAGTGAATGATTGATTTACTTGTCCGAAGGATGAACACATGTCAAGGCTTAAAGGGTTAGTTCACCCAAAAATGAAAATTAGGCTGAGTTTTACTCACCCCTGAGGCATCCTAGGTGTATATGACTTCTTTCAGATGAATCCAGTCGGAGTTACAGTATATAAAAAATTGTCCTGGCTATTTCAAGCTCTATCATTGCAGTCAGTGGGTGTTGCAGTGCTTCAGTCCAAAAGAAGTTAAATAAAAATCGCCCATCCATATAAATAAAAGTGTCTCACATGGCTCCGGGGGGTGAACAAAGGCCTCCTGTAGCGAATCGATGCGTTTTTGTAAGAAAAATATCCATTTTTAAAACGTAATAATCACTTTAATCTAGCTTGCACCAACAGTTGTACACAGAAGCAGCTCCGGGAGCATGAGGTCAGCGTTGCGCATGCGCCGGTGAGTCTCGTGATAACCAACGTTTGTTAACAGGAGCATAGGAAGCAAAGTCCAAAGTCTCCTCTTGGCTTATATCGAAATCCTCTGACATTCTTCTTTACAAATCTTCGTTTTGTACTTCTAATTAGTGACCGTTGTTTTGTTTTGATCTCTCCGCTGCGCTTCCGTGTTCGTCAGTTCTGAGCGGCGCATGCGCAAAGCCGACCTCATACGTCATTCCCCCGGAGCTGCTTCCGTGTACAACAGTGAGCGCAAGCTAGATTAAATTGATTGTTTTAAATATGGATATTTTTCTTACAAAAACACATCGATTCGCTACAGAAGGCCTTTGTTCACAATGTCGAGCCCTTTTTATATATAATAATAAAAAAAAAAAATATTTTTAAATTTTATATAAATTTTTTAAATAATATTTGGTAACAAACATGTTAATATTGTTAATGTTAACCATATTAAAATGGATATAAAACGTAAGAAACATTTGGAATGCTCACAGGGATCTTGAATCTTTGTTGATGTTAGTATGTTGCTAAACATACAGTAAAAAGAGCTTTTTGCAGTGTTTGTGGGATTGCCTTCTCCATGAAGGATATGCGGTTCTGCGTTAAAATTAGCTTGAACATTTGGCCATAACAAGGTGTCAGAGAAGGAATAATCCATAATGTTACGGTAGTTCGGAGCAGAGCTCTAGTGTTCGAGCTCATATGTTTAACGGATGAGGGTTTATCAGGCCTCTCTAGCAGAAGCTGATAATGACATTGGAAAAACAAACAGAGGCTGAACACTTGCATAATTTCCCATATGGCCCTGCAGCAGAGTCAACATGATGCTTCTGTGCCTTGTGCACTTAATGACCAGTGTCTCCTAAATAGAGCAGAACGGTTTTCAGATATTTTTAGCAATTTGTTCTGTAGATCGTCTCGACTAATGAGGCCAGGAGACGCTGAGTTGAGATCTGATCTGATTTACAGACATGCTGCTGTCCAATGAAGAGAAGAGCAAAGCTCCGCCCATGTTCCTCTGCTTTAAGGTGGGGAAACCAATGAGGAAGTCCTTCGCCACTGGTCGGACGTCTAGCCCCGCCCACTCGTACATCGGCAGAGGGCGGCAGCCGGAATATTGGTTTGCTGTGCCTCAAGAGAAGTACGGATGGGCTCCTCAATATGTGAATGGGTTTAATATGAGAGAGTACGCTTCTAAACAAACCTTTCTGCCATTTCTCCAAAGAGTGGACCAACTGTACTCGTTCTTCATCCAGTGGTCTCCAGACACTTATGGGAAAGAGGCTCAGGAGCAGGGCTTTGTGGTCGTGGAGAAAGACGAGCTCACAATGATCGACAACTTCTTCAGTGACCCGGTTCCTCGCAGCTGGGAGGTGAGGAGCATGCGACTCCAGGACACTTGGGAGAAACCGCTAAAAGAATATGGTAAATATGAGGGCTTGGTTTGTTCTTTGTCATCAGATCATCACGATTAATGAGGCCAAGAGACGCCAGAGCTTCAGCTTCGAGGACGAGGAACCTCTAGAGCTTCTTCCTGTTCTGATGGACGCCAGTGCTCTTCTGGAGGACACGCACATTGAGAAGGTCTCCATTGTTTGCTACTTTAAAGGGACAGTTCACCCGAAAAATGAAAATGTGCTGTTCATTTACTCATTCAAGATGTAGGGGACTGTTTTATCTTCAGTAGAACAGTAAAGAAGATTTTTAGCTGAAATCGTGCTCCTTGGTGATTCATAAAATGCAATGGCTGCCGGTTTTTGAGAATAAAAAAAAGCATATCAAGGAAAACAAAATTAATACCCGTGACTCCTTACGATATATTGAGGTCTTATGAAGCGAAACGATCAATCTGTGAAAGAAACTGGACATTATTTACAACTTTATTATCTTTAATCCAGAGCCTCAGGCAAACGAGTGAACCGATTCTTTTCTGAACACCTGGTTCTTTCGGACAGTTTGTTTCAATGAACTGGTTCAGTTCACTAGTTTGTGAATGACGTAATATATACGCAATTATGTTATTAAAGCACCCAATAATGATGTGAAACGTGAATGTTTTACGGCTCATCGGTCTTCAGTCCGAGTCAAACTGTTTCCTCGGTTCAGTGACTGTTGGAGGAACTGAAGCGATGAATCCATTCATTCATCATTGAATCAGATACGCTGCTATTTTGGAGTCCTTTGGCGTCGGAGTGACTGTCAGGCGTCTGAAAGTGAGTTTTGATTGAGTAACTTGTAGATCTGTGCTGCTCGAGCCGCAAACTGTTGCAGGCGATTCAGTCCTATTTGATTTACTGGTTCAACTAGTTCACTAAAAAGAATCAATTCAAAAGAATGATTCATTTGTGAACCAGACATCCCTCTGGACCGTTTGCCTGAGGCTCTGGAGGCTCTACAGGTAATAATGTTGTAAATAATGTTAAGTTTCTTGCACAGACCGATCGTTTCGCTTCATAAGACCTCAATATATCGTCAGGAGCCACAGGGATTCATTTTGTGTTCCTTGATAAGCTTTTTTTTTTATTCTCAAAAACCGGTAGCCATTGGCTTGCATTTTATAAATCACCAATGACCATGGTTTCAGCAAAAAATCTTCTTTACTGTTTTACTGAAGGAAAAAACTCCCCTACATCTTGGATGGCCTGAGGGTGTGTAAATTAACAGCAAATTATAATTTTTGGGTAAACTATTCCTCTAACAACTTAAAATGTTAAGGTCCATTGTGATCTGTTTGGGATTGTGATATTTTAAGTGGTGGTGATTGTGATTTGCTTGACACTCTCCTCTGCAGTTGTCCACTCATTTGCCGGCCCGTGTTCAGGGCTATCCGTGGCGTCTGGTCTACAGTACAGTGGTACACGGAACCAGCCTGAAAACCCTGTACAGGAACCTACTGGAGCTGGACTGCCCTGTGCTGATGGTAATCAAAGACATGGACAAACAGGTACACGCACTACTGTGACCGCTGTTGGTGTACAACTGATGAAACTGGTGTTGCCATGTTAAAAAAACTCGTCATTTTCTCCTGCAGATTTTTGGAGCGTTTTCCACTCACCCTTTCCGAGTGAGTGAGCACTGTTATGGTAGAGGAGAGACCTTCCTCTACAGCTTCTGCCCAGAGATCAAGGTGTGTTTCTGACCTACATAGACTTTAGGGGACAAAATTGCTGTAAAATGTCCTTGCAAACGCCCTAGCAACCACTCAGAAAACATTTGCAACTGCAAAATAATGCCTTATCAACCACTCAGAAGTCTTGGCAACTGCTTAACCTTAGAAACCACTTAGAGAACATTGGCAATCACATAGCAACGCCTTGGCAACATCTTAGAAACTGCTTGGCAACATCCTGGCAACCAGTCAGAACACTGCTGTAATCACCAGGCAACCACTGAGAATACCTTAGCAACTGCCTAGCAACACCTTAGAAACCACTTATGGCGCTTTTCCACTGCGTGGTACGACTCGGCTCGGTACGGCTCAGTTCGGCTCGGCACGGGTTGTGGTTTCACTGCAGTTCAGTACCGCTTTAGAGTGGGCGGGATTATTCACATGTCGTTATAGTTGCGCCGCCTCTACTACCACGACTCCTAAAAAAACTTTTTAATTCCACGTCGCCCCTTCAAGCTCTGGCTGGATCTGCTCCTCTGCTATCAACGAGAGGAACGTCTGTACTTCCGCAACAGACAACAAAACTTTTTGGTTGTTAAAAAAAAGGTGCGCTCATTCAAAACAGTTGCGTTCGATCCTTCGCTGGCTGTGCTGATTTAAATCTAGCGGTTCTTTTGTGTTTGTGTCGCAAGTTCAGTGACGCAGGTAGTGACGATTCTCTCCGGCCAATCCGTGATCAGCAGAGTTTACACGTCACGTTTTGGTAAAGGTACGGTTCACTTGGAAACCCAACCGAGGTGGTACTAAAAAAAGTACCAGGTACTGTACCCAGTGGAAAACCCCCCAAAAGTGAACCATACCGTGCCGTACCATGCAGTGGAAAAGCTCCATTAGAGAACATTGGCAACCACATAGTCTTAACAACCACTCAGAATATCTCAGTAACTGCTTGCCAATGTCCTGTCAACCGATCAGAACACCTTTGCAACTGCCTGCCTAGAAACCACTTAGAGAACATTGGCAATCACGTAGCAACGCTTTGGCAACCATTCAGAACATCTTAGCAACTGCTTGGCAGTGTCCCGGCAACCAATCAGAACACAGCTGTAATCGCCCGGCAACCACCGCGAATACCTTAGCAACTGCCTAGCAACACCTTAGAAACCACTTAGAGAACATTGGCAATCATGTAGCAATGCTTTGGCAACCGATCAGAACATCTTAGCAACTGCTTGTCAATGTCCCAGCAAGTAATTGACAGGTGACCACCCAGAATACCTTAGCAACTGTCTAACAACAACCTAGCAACCAATCAGAACATAGTCCTGGCAACCAGTCAGAACACCTTAGCAACGGCCTGGCAACACCCTAGAAACCACATAGAGAACATTGGCAACAACACAGTCTTAACAACCACTCAAAATTTCTCAGCAACTGCTTGCCAATGTCCTGTCAACCAATCAGAACACCTTTGCAACAACCCAGAACACCTTAGCAGCTGCCTAGCAACACCCTAGAAACCATTTAGAGAACATTGGCAATCATGTAGCAATGCTTTGGCAACCAATCAGAATATCTCAGCAACTGCTTGCCAATGTCCTATCAACCAATCAGAACACGGCTGTAATCGCCAGGCAACCACCAAGAATACCTTAGCAACGGCTTAGCAACAACTTAGAAACCACTTAGAGAACATTGGCAATCATGTAGCAATGCTTTGGCAACCGATCAGAACATCTTAGCAACTGCTTGGCAGTGTCCCAGCAACTATTCAAAACATAGTCCTGGCAACCAGTCAGAACACCTTAGCAACTGCCTGGCAACACCCTGAAAACATTGGCGATCACACAGTCTTAACAACCACTCAGAATATCTCGGCAACTGCTTGCCAATATCTTGTCAACCAATCAGAACACCTTTGCAACCACCTAGAACACATTAGCAACTGCCTAGCAACACCCTAGAAACCATTTAGAGATCATTTGCAACCACATAGCAATGCCTTGGCAGCCACTCAGAACATCTTAGCAACTGCTTGGCAATGTTCTGGCAACCAATATGAACACCTTTACAACCAACAGACAACCACCCAGAATATTTTAGCAACTGCCTAGTAACTCCCTAGAAATTACTTAGAGGACTATAGCAACCTTTATGTAATGCCCTAGTAACCATTTAGAAAATGTTAGCAACTGCGTAGTAACCAGCAACCCACCAGAGCTTGAATCTTGAATCAACCAAAAGGTCCCTAGCAAAAAATAATCAACACACTGGTCAAAAATAAAAAATCTTGCTTTGTCGCACCACAATTGATCGCGTGCGGTGTGAGTAGCTCCATAGGGATCTATTGTTTTGATTCAGGAACGTCATCGCGTCGTACATTTGCATCACTTAATCGTGCTCGGTGTGCAAGGCCCTTAAACCTATTCAATCTTTAAATCTCTGTTCTAATGAAGTATTCAAACCTCATGAGGGCTCAGTACCTTCAAGTGGTCGGAAACATTGGCAACCACACAGTCTCAACAACCACTCAGAATATCTCAGCAACTGCTTGCCAATGTCCTGTCAACCAATCAGAACACAGCTGTAATTGCCAGGCAACCACTGAGAATACCTTAACTACTGCCTAGCAAGACCTTAGAAACCATTTAGAGAACATTGGCAATCATGTAGCAATGCTTTGGCAACCAATCAGAACATCTTAGCAACTGTTTGGCAATGTTCTGGCAACCAATATGAACACCTTTACAACCAACAGACAACCACCCAGATTATTTTAGCAACTGCCTAATAACTCCCTACAAAAATTACTTGGAGGACTATAGCAACCTTTATGTAATGCCCTAGTAACCATTTAGAAAATGGTAGCAACTGCGTAGTACCCAGCAACCCACCAGAGCTTGAATCTTGAATCAACCAAAAGGTCCCTAGCAAAAAATAATCAACACACTGGTCAAAAATTAAAAATCTTGCTTTGTCGCACCACATGATCGCGCGCGGTGTGAGTAGCTCCATAGGGATCTATTGTTTTGATTCAGGAACGTCATTGCGTCGTACATTCGCATCACTTAATCGTGCTCGGTGTGCAAGGCCCTTAAACCTATTCAATCTTTAAATCTCTGCTCTAATGAAGTATTCAAACCTCATGAGGGCTCAGTACCTTCAAGTGACAGTTGTATGTTTGTCTTTAGGTTAATAATAATTGTATGTATATATATATATATATTTATAATAAAATATTTCTGCAATTTTTTCCTTTTTTAATTTATATTGATTGATTGATAGGTTTTCACACTCTGTATTAATGCATTAAGTTGCTAGATGGCTTGGCAACAGTAAACAGCCTATACATAGATTTCGGGTTATTAATATTATTAACTATATATTAAAAATTGGTGTCTTAATGTCTTGTAACTGTTTTGGGGTCACTCTTGTATGAAGTTGCCGTGCGTCTGATGTCCGACAGGATTATCTTGGTGGGTGGGGTAAACCTGCTCAGGGGTCAGAGGACAAAGTTCATGGGTGCTCCTCATGTAGTTCACACCGCCCTGCTGGAGGAGGAGCAGCAGCTGACGGACGAACAGCGGCTCCACCTGTAGGACAGAAGAAGTGACAGCCGTGTCTAGTCATGTGGAGGTGACTGTTGCGTGTCAGAGCAGATGGAGAGGGCAAAGGTCGTTACCTGGACCGTCAGGGGTCTGTTGTCTGCGGAAGGGTCACCGCACTCAAAAAGCAGCTGCACGTGGAAACGCGGAGGAGGACGAGCGTGCAGGAAATAACCCTGGAGCTCTGCAGGAATTAATGCATTATAAACTTAAAGGGTTAGTACACCCAAAAATGAAGATTCTGTCATCATGTACTCATCCTCATGTTCCAAACCCCTGAGACTTTCGTTCATCTTTTGAACACAAATATATTTCTGTCATGACAACTATCGGAGGGATTGGCATGGTAATGTACATGACAATGTTAAATGTATTTGGTCTTGGCGGAATAGATCTGCTACGCTGCTGCTGCGGCAGAGCAAGTACCGAGACTTGTTGCCAATACATCCACAACATGCTGCTGTGAGCATGTAAGAAATACTGCCGCTGCAAATATAACATACATGAAATAACCCCCATATAGCATACATTAATCACCTTGTAGCAGATCTATACAGGTGGAGGATTTCTGAAGCAAGCTGCGACTGTTACTGCAAGCACTAGTCATATATTTGAATGTTGAGCAGCGAGCTCATTGGCTACCGATACAGGAAAGAACCAATCAGCTGTGCCATGTGATAATGATGTCATTAGGTCAGACTGAGTTAGACCTATCGGACTGCGCCATCTAGAGTCTCATGCCAGAACTCTGTATATATTTTTAATGAAACCTGATAGATTTCTGTCCCTCCATTGACAGTCTATGCAATTATCGCCAGTGTTGCCAAGTCCAAGGCTTTTACTGATGTGTGCTTTGATTAATGTTTACTTGTAAATATAGTTTAACAAGCTCTTTATGAACTTTTTGTAGCGTCAAAGTGGTAGTCAAGGTTGCCAGGTCTGCAAAAGAAAATCAGCCCAACTGCTATTCAAAACTAGCCCAATCGTGTTTTTCCGCTCTGTGGAAATAGTGTTCCAGTGGGTGGGGGAGATTGCTTTAAACTGTGGACTAAAAAACAACCCGCAGCAACGGTGTAAAAGTAGCCCAATTTTGCAGTAGCCCCTCACTGGTTGGGCATGGTTGGATCCACATCTAGGGGGTGGAGATGGGTAGATTTAGGGGTGGAGATTGGTGGGTTTAGGGGTGGAGATGGGTAGGTTTAGGGGTGGAGATTGGTGGGTTTAGGGTTAGGGTTAGATTAGGGTTAGGGTTAGGAGACGGATAGGTTTAGGGGTGGAAATTGGTGGGTTTAGGGGTGGAGATTGGTGGGTTTAGGGGTGGAGATTGGTGGGTTTAGGGGTGGTGATGGGTGGGTTTAGGGGTAGAGATGGGTGGGTTTAGGGGTAGAGATGGGTGGGTTTAGGGGTGGAGGTGGGGGGGTTTAG